CTGTCACGCGACTCTGTCTTTACATTTATTTTGAAAGATGAAGCTCACGATTATGGTAAGGGGCGTTACATTTCCGACGAGTGCTTGCGGTGTTCGGCCAATCACAATGCACTGGGTCAGCTGGTCAATCAGAGCAGACTGCGCTTGTCGGAAGGAGGGACTTTGTAGAAAACGAAGCGTTAGAGAGAGGCGGGGCATAGAGGACCTACAATAATGTACAGTATTTGAAAAATGATGTGTTTTTTTGAACATTAAAGCATGTCAACATATTCTGTTACACCAAATACACAAAATAATGATCTTTAAAAAAGCATCATATGACCCCTTTAATATAACTCCAATTGTATTTGTCTGAAAGAAGAAAGTCATATACACCTTGGATGGCTTGAGGGTGAGCAAATCATGGGCTAATTTTCATTTTTGGGTGAACTATCCCTTCAATACTTTTATTCAGCCATTAAATTGATCAAAAGCAACAGTAAAGACATCATTAAAATAAATGCTGAATATATACTCTTTCAAATAAATGTGTTCTTTTAAACTTCCTATTCATCAAAAAATCCAGAAAAAATGTATCCTGATTTACACACAAATATTACTGTTTTAACATTCATAACTATAAGAAATATTACTAATAATTAAGTACCAATAATAATGAATAATTATTGAGCAGCAATGCTGAAAATTCAGGTTTGCCATCACAGGAATTAATAACAAATATATTCAATATATATTTATATTCAAGTAGAAAATTATTCTAATAGAGAGTATATGTATTATTTAAAATTGTAATTATATTTCACATTAATCCTGTTTTTTTTTTAATCACATAATTGCAGCCTTGGTGAGCAAAAGAGACTTCTTTCAAAAACATAAAATCTTAATTATTCTAAATCTGTAGTGTTTTTGATGTTGTTTTTGTTGTTTTGTTTATTTTGCTGCAGTATTCAAAGCTCATGAGTGCACAAAAAAATATGTTTTAGATTATTTATTTTAAAGGGACGCAAGAAAACAATACTGATTATTAATATGACTTCTGACAGAAATTGGCATGAGTAATTTATGGCGTAGCAGAATGTGTATTCATCGTAAAAAAAATGCTCAAAGCAAATGTAATGATATAAATGGATTAATCTCATGCTTTCATACTAACAACACAGCTGACCACAATATGCATCGTTGGAGTTATAGCTGGAGCTGTAGTTATAAAATGACCTTGTCATTAGTGTTTATGAAAAGCTTATCTGCTAAAACATTATTTAGGATTGCCGAGGATTGGCGTTTGTTAAAGCTGCTTTGATTTATGTTGACTGAGATTTTTGGGTGAAGGATGCCTTGGATTTTCACTGGGAATGGAATGACAAGAAGCAGAAAGAAGTAGATAAAGAGGACCGCAATTAATCACATGTATTTTATTGTGAAAGTGTGAATAATCCTCTTTGCCAACTTAGCTTAGTTTAATCACCAGACACACACGTCGTCCACTTCTCTCAAACACACAAACACTGTCAGGGATGCAATCCGACGCAGCGTTAATCAGGCTAACAGCTCCAGCGTCACGCAGCCACCCTGACATAAAGTGTAATTTAAAGATGAGATTTCAAGAGCCCTAAACGCTCCCAGGAGGACGTGGAGTGTGAGGCTCTGGGTTGCGTTAGGAAATGAGTTTAGAGTCAACCGTCCACATTACGATGATTAATTCAACGGCCGCTGTGTGCTTTTTCATGCCTGAGAAGTGCAGCCTGTTAGATTAAAAGTCATGCAGTGGGCGATGTGAATGGCTCTGCTGGCTGGTTGTATTGTCTCTTCAAACAAGAAATATTTTTTTGGTTCAAGCGTATTGCAGTCATTACATTCTTCAAAGCAAACCACAGTAGGCCTGTTGCAGTTTTTACATAAGGGCCTGATTGTTATTATGTGCAATAACTATGAGCATTTTGCACATTGCACATTTTGCTCATTTTATTCTCATTCTATTTCTTTCTTTCTGGCGTGCTTGGTTATAAAAACAATGGCGTGAGCCAAAAAGATATATATTTCAAAATGTATTATATTTGTTTACAAAGCCCTAAAGAAATCATGCATTTTATTAGCTTCATATAAATTTGAAACAGTTTATTTTTATATTATTTTTGAGATATATAGTTATTGAAATATTCAATAGTAGCAATAAAATACTACTTAAATTTGAACTGAATTGAAACCATGAAAAGCATTTTTATGAAAAATATGAAGTTACATAAATGTTAGGACACAACATTCTCTAAGTAATGTTTATGGAATGTTCTTATAACTTTATTAACATGTTATATACATTCTCATAATGTTGAGAGAAAATGTTCTAAGATCAAAGTGTTATTTGTTCTTGATGAACATTCTAAAAATATTTTTTTGTAACCTTTAAATAAAATTATAATCATGACAAGAAAAACTGAACATTTTAACAATCTTAGAATATTAAAAACAAATGTTCAAAAAACATAAAATTTTTGGTAAAAAATAAAGTTAAAGGTACCATATTGGCAAAACTGAAATTTTCTGGTTTTTTCCACGATAACTGAGGTCTAGGGGCTATTTAACTACCATATAAGTTTCAAAACAGTCAGTCCACAGCCTGCATAAAGTAGCTGTGATTTTTCACAAACCATTGTGACTTCCGTAAAAAGTTGACGTCAGAACTACACAGTCATTGCCTTCAGTCACCACCCCGAGCACCACCCACCATCCCACTCTCCTTTTGCCAAACCCCCAGACAACATCGCGTCCATGCCATTGCTGAGCAACAACAACACGGAAACATGTCGAAAAGGTTAACTTTAACCATGAAACCAGATCGGCCGACCTGTAACGGTACCCTCTGACTCAAAGGATGGACGATCTGACAGGATTGTTATACATTAATATATAGATATTACAATTTCAGCAAGTAACTATTTTTACAGCTACATTATTGTTCCAGCCACAATTAATCACAACATTTTTTATACAATTACAAATGATTATATATAAATCGTCAGTTTGTTGTTTTACACACATGCACACAGACATTATTTCATACCAAGCGGCAACCTCCTGCTCTCTCTCTTGTGAAGCCAACACGGAAGTGACTTAAACTCCCATAGAGCCCCCATGTTAAATTGCCCAACTTTACAGCAGAAAAAAAACATGTTTACAGCCTGGTTCAAAAAAAAGATTTTGGTCTATATAGCTAATTTTGCTTCATGACAACTGTGAGGGGGGTGAATTTTTTTATAACTCATCCGTTTAAATTATATTAAGCCTTAAAGTTCTGCATAATTAAGGGCGCGGCCACTTGAGTGGCAGGTGGATTGCCACTGCACACCATTGAGCTAGGTGGGCGTGGTTTCAGCAACCAGTTCCCGCCTCTTTGCCCATTTTCGATTATCCGGGAGTGACGCGTGGTGACGCACTGCCAAGATGGCGACGGCCGGCTTCGCCTAGTTTAGGCTTCAAAAATGCTCTTCGGAAACCTACAGGTGTCGTCATGGACACTACGTCCATGTATTTATACAGTCTATGTTTCATACACGACATAGTCGTGAGATGCAAGAAACATAGACATATGGCAAGAAATCTGTAGACGCGCCCATAACAACAAAAGACAATACTTTATTGAACCTTTTCTGATAAGAAGTGTGCGCTGCAAACGCGAACATTTTTGACGATCATTTCTGTCCAGTCTGCTCGTTTTATCGCGTTTAACCACAGCTGTCATCGTTTTTTTTGTCTGGCAGTGGCAGCAGATATGCGATCAATTTCTAAATTGAGGCTGTACTACGTTGATTCTGGCACCCAACATCACAACAAGATGATATTTTAAGCTCCTTATGTAGCTGAATCTGCGCTGGTTTGAATGGGCCGCCTCCAGTTTCCCCTTTGTTTTGCTGCCTCCAGCTAGCGCTGTGACGTTGGCTGACCCTAGTTACCTGTGGTTGGCCTGGCCGTGCGTCACTCAGAAAACAACAGGCCAATCAGAAGAGAGGCTTATGAATATTAATTAATTAGGCCAAAATCGATCTGTTCTCAGCAGAGCTCCTGAGAGAGGAGCTGTAAAAATATATTGAGATGGTTTTTGGTACTTATACCGCAAATATATATTCTTAAGGACATCAAGACTTAAAATAAAACTCCAGAAAGCTGTAAAATATGTGACCTTTAAACGTAAAAATAAAAATAAAGTTTTTGTAAACTTTAAATAATGTTGTAATCACAAGAAGAAAAGTGGACATGTCAACGTTTTAGAAACATTTTTGAAGACATTATTAAAAAATTGCTTGAAGTCCAGTGTTAAGTTTCCACAGTCTGTGATGATTTCGGTGTTGGTGTTGGTGTTGGTGTCATCTGCTGGTGTTGGTCTATTGTGTTTTTTGAAAACCAACGTCACTTCACCCGTTTACCAAGAAATTTTGGAGCACTTCATGCTTCCTTCTGCTGACCAGCTTTTTGAAGATGCTGATTTCATTTTCCAGCAGGATTTGGCACCTGCCCACACTGCCAAATGCACCAAAAGTTGGTTAAATGACCAAGACCAATGTTGGTGTGCTTGACTGGCCAGCAAACTCACCAGACCTGAACCCCATAGAGAATCTATGGGGTATTGTCAAGAGGAAAATGAGAAACAAGAGACCAAAAAATGCAGATGAGCTGAAGGCCACTGTCAAAGAAACCTGGGTTTCCATACCCCCTCAGCAGTGCCACAAACTGATCACCTCCATGCCACGCCGAATTGAGGCAGTAATTAAAGCAAAAGGAGCCCCTACCAAGTATTGAGTACATGTACAGTAAATTAACATATTTTCCAAAAGGCCAACAATTCACTAAAAAATGTTTTTTATTGGTCGTATGAAGTATTCTAATTTGTTGAGATAGTGAATTGGTGGGTTTTTGTTAAATGTGAGCCAAAATCATCACAATTAAAAGAACCAAAGACTCAAACTACTTCAGTCTGTGTGCATTGAATTTATTTAATACACGAGTTTCACAATTTGAGTTGAATTACTGAAATAAATTAACTTTTCCACGACATTCTAATTTATTGAGATGCACCTGTGTATGCATGAATATTTTTAGACAGTAGTTAGCTTCTGAGGTTGTGCAACCGGAAAAAAATTCTGTCTAAATAAAGAGAGAAATACAGTGACGTACTAGACCAGGGGTGGTGAACTCCGGTCCTGGCGAGCCTCAACCCTGCAGAGTTCAGCTCCAACCCTAAATAAAACTCACCTGCCTGTAGCTTCCTAGTAACCGGTCAGACCTTGATTAGCTTATTCAGGTGTGTTTGATTAGGGTTGAAGCGAAACTCTGCAGGGCTGCGGCTTTCCAGGACCGACGTTCGCCACCCCTGTACTAGATTAAAGTGATGTGCACCGCATGAGCGAAATGTTGAGAGAGACAGAAGCTGTTCCTCTCTGGGGCAGTTTGAGTCATGATTGCATTGTGAGTTAATTGGCGTTACCAGCAGACAGATATAAAGCTGTGCACCCTGATCAGATTGGAGCTTCGCCAGGCTGTTGAGGAAGCTCATGCATGTAACCTGAGAGGAAGACACCTCAGGAACCTTTTCAAGGGTCTGTCACCGCTGTTTGGATTCCCTCCAAGTAACATTTACTCATCAGCAGAAAAACCAAACTCCAGCAGCTGCTCTCGACAAAACCAATGGATCTCATTCATACCAGGAGACAGTGAATGATCTCAGACCATCTACCAAAATCAAAACCATGCTACATGACCTTGCTGTGACATTATTCAGGAAACAGCAGCAGTAGCAGTTAAACCACCCCGGCTACTACACTACAATGTTTAAAGTAATAGGAGTGAACATTTCTGTAGATGTTTACAGAAATATCAATTAAATATCAATTATTTTTATTAAATTTTTAATGTAAATTTAATAATAACAAATAAATATTAAAATACCTATATATATTATTTTAATAAATTATTATTCATGTAATGTTTGAATATTAACTCTATATCTACATTTGTATATTATGTAATAATATTTTAAAATATTCTTAAATTTACGTATGGTTGGTAGGGTGTTTTGGGTGGTTGCTAAACAATAGTGTCATTATTCTGCTCAAGTCAGTTCAAGTTTTGTTCAACAAACAAGGCTTGAAAATAGGAATGAAAATTTCAGAAACTAAGTAGATTTTTGCAAGAAATATTAATTAAAAAGGTATTCTTTTTATTGGAAATATTTTATATTTTTATTTTAATGACAAATTTAAAACAATAAATCTGTATTATATATACATATATATATATATATATATAATATAATATATATTATATTATTTTAATCAGTAAATATTTATATAATATGTGAATTTTACAGCTAATATTTCGATATTTGAATATTATATATAATAATATTTTAAAATATTCTTCAATTTACGTATGGTTGCTAGGGTGTTTGGGTGTTTGCTAGAATATTCTAAAGTGGTTGCTAGGGTGTCATGTTTGGTTGCTAGGTGACCGCTTACTATCTAATTGAGGGTGTATTCACACCTGTCTTGTTTGGTTCGAACTCAAGTTAATTTCCCCCCTTGGTGCGGATATTTTGGGCAGGTGTGAATACAGAAATCACACTCGGGTGCGGACCAAACCAAGCTGAAGAGGTGGTCTCGGTCCGGTTCCAAACGAACTCTGGTGCACTTGAGAATTTCTGTCCAATGAATGGGTGATCTTAGCACACATGTGGTTTTGTTTACAATTTCTGGTTCACTTAATAAAAAATCAACAATGTATTTGGCCCGGACCAATGCAAGTGAACTAGCGGACTTTCTTGGTGTGAATACACCCTAAGAGTCACAAGCCTCTCTTTATTTTCATAAAAAAAATAATACAAATATTATGTTAACATATTATTAAATGTATTACTACCATTAACATATTATTTAATTTATTATATAATATTTGAATATTACATCTAGTTTATTCATTTTAATTGGATTAAAAATTATTATATATGTTTAGATTTCATATTTCATTAATTTAATATGGTTATTAGAGTGTTTTTGGTTGCTAGGGTGTTTAAGTGGTTGCTAAGGTGTTCTGGTGGTCTCTAGTTATGCCTCATCCCTCCTTTAAGCTCTGCTATGGGTTTAATATCCATTCACCTATGAGATTTATTACTCCTTCTTGCTTTCATAAATCTTCTTTCCTTGTGTGTGTCATGGTAGCTGTGGCGGGGCGGAGAGAGTCCAAACTTCAGCACTTCCGAGGCACATTCTCAGACATTTAGACTTTAGCATGCATCAGCTTTCTCTGCAAGAGTGTGTAAGACATGTGTTTGACGGTTTGTTCCTGCAGGCCACACTCATTTACTCACCGCAGAGGATCAGATGGTTCTCGCTGTAGCTCTAGGGCAGCTCTTTATTAATGACAGGAGAGAAAGGGCTGCCACGGGCTGCAGATGCTGCACTTATGATGATCGTGGAGAAGACATGCACAGTTTAGTGAATTACAATAATGTCTGTGATGCTTCTCTGGGGATTTCAACTGTTCAGGCTCAGTTAGACAGAGTACCAGCATTTAGTGTGATGCTGTCTGATTGGATGCGACACAATATACGTGCGAGAACAAATTATTGTGATGTTAAATAATAAGCTGACATTTTATCCTAATATAACATTCTGATGTTATACCACAATATAAAGGTAGAACATTACATCTAATACCATCTAAAATATCTATATTCAAATATTATGTACAGTATAATAATGCAGACTCACATGTATGTATATACATTTATTATTTATATCTTTAATTATACATATATCTATATTCAAATATTATGTAATATTGTAATATTGTTTTATTATGTAAATATAATATTTTAAATATGTTCAGATATTATATATAATAATATTCAATATATTAATAAAAACTCCTGATGGTGGAAATGGGAATTTTCACTGCTCTAGCTCTTTTCTTAAAGTCACTTTCTAATTTGTGATGCTCAATTATCTTTTGCTGCACATCAGAAATGTATTCTTTGGTTTTTCTCATTGTGATGGATGATTAAGGAAATTTGGCCTTTGTTGTCCCTCCTATTTATATTCCTGTAAAACAGGAAGCCATGGCTGGATAATTTCATGTTCATAATCACCCTGGTATGCTCAAAATTGTAAATATGAATGGAAATATACTTCACAGATATTTTACTCATAAGAATTTCTAGGCGTGCCAATAATTGTGTCCGACGTGCATTTGAGAAAAACATTTATTTCATAATGAGATTTTCCCCCATTTTCAATTGTTTTAGTTCAATGAAAGGTTAGATATTTGCGATTTCGTTTTTAAATAAAAGATCAAAATGATTAACAATGCAGTTTTATTTTCACAGCCTTCTTTGATCATATTTACCAAGGGTGCCAATAATTCTGACCAAGACTGTATATATATATATATATATATATATATATAAATACAAACACAACCTTGATAGGACTGGTAGTACCATGGTACATAAAAAATTATTGTGTAAGTGTTTTTGTTGTTTATTACAGAAATCTGCAGTCACCTAAATTGTGCAGATAATACATGAATATAGATAGTATATTAAATATGCTAAATATTGATTAAATGAAACCACAAGCACTAAATCTGATTGTCCCTGTTCTGAGATATTTCATTCTCTCTCTCTCTCTCTCTCTCTCTCTCTAATTGTGGTCTGTTATTCATAGCTGTTCTCTCATCCTGAGTTCACATTCTTTCATATAATTATGTGGATGTATTTTCAAGTCATTTTTTCTGAGCCTCATAATTTATGGCAGTTAGGGGTTTATAGGACATGCGTGAAATTAACACCTGTTATTCTCTCAGGACTCAAATTAATTAACCTACTACCTTAATAGAGAACGGCAGGCACGCGGGAGGTGGCATCTGTGTGTACGTGGCCCACAAAAAACGTGTTGGATTCTCTGACACTGGCACTGAAAGGAGAGGGTTTTCGTGAACTTTGGTTGAAAAACTTCTCATTAACCCTCTTACAGGTAAAAAAGTTTCTTTAAAAAAATGGGAGCCATTTCAGTCATTTCATTTTACTGACTTAAACCACAAATTGCGGCATGTTTTTGTCTTTTTTGTAAGATTTTTCTTTTTTTTAAATGTCTGTAGTTTTTATTAATTAATTGAAGTACATCAAGTTAAACTAATTAGAGAAACTAGTGGGAATTGTTTTCTTGGCAACTAGTTTTTATTATTTTATTTCAAATAACGAAAAGTTTTTTTTGGAGAAAGTAGGAATAGAAGTAAATATTATAAGTGAATTTCACGCTTTTATATATATATATAAAAGCGTGAAATTCACTTATAATATTTACTTCTATTCCTACTAAATTTAAAATCAAAATGGTCTTAGATTTAGTAAATCATCTTACATGAACAGGGTTATCTAAATAGGTTGATCTAAATCTAAGACCATTTGAGAAGTTTTGATTTGAAATTATGTGCAATTTATATATTACAAAATGTTTTATTTTGTCAGAATGCACAGGATTCGCTGAATAATGGAGAGCAGGACTGGACCGCTGAATTGCTTTCACAGTCTCTCTCTATTGTCCTTCCTGTCCAGTTCATTTTTCAGTGATTCCACATAACATAATCATGAGCAGAATCTGTTTCTGCACCATCCAGCCCAGATGAGTTTCGTGTGCACTGGGATGTCTCTGTGGTTTGTTGCCATGGAGACGTCTCGAGCAAACTTTGCAAGATACCATTGTCGCACACAAAGTTATATTTTTAAACAAGGCTATATTCCAGTGTTTATGGTCATACCAGATTTTATTTGACATTTTAAACAGCGATTTTCAGCTAGTTTGCATAAATTCAAAAGGTACAACTTACTTAAAGGGTCTACAATTGTTACCTTAAGGCAGTGTTGGGGAAAATTACTTTTAAAAGTAATGCATTACAATATTGCGTTACTCCATAAAAAAGTAACTAATTATGTTACTTAGTTACTTTTTACGGAAAGTAATGCGTTACTTTTTTAAATCTGGACAGGGCTTGCTTGTTTGTTTTTAAAATAAAAAAGTTGTATTTTTGGCAAATATAAAAGTCTTTTCACACCAAAAGTGAAATGAATAAACCTCAGGCTGAAGGGAAAGTAAATTTACATCTGTACAGTAGAATGCAGAAGAAATTTCAACACACAAATGTTTGTCTAGAGTAATTTTTGCTTATTAGTACGGTTGAACTGGATCATTGAAGGTCAGAAGCAAAGACATTGGTTAATAGAATGGGATTAAATACATAAAGGATATTTGTGTTGTTTAACATTTAATTATTGCAGGTTTGCGTCATATTCAGAGTTGTATTATTTTTATTCATTTTGAGGAATACTGATTCTGTTTTTTTTTTGTGTGAGTGAGATGAATTAATGCATATTCATATTTATTTTGAATTACAGTAACATCCGATTTCTCTCAACATGGGGACAGGAGAGCTGTCAATCAATAAATTGGGAAAAAAAAGTAACTTGCGTAACTGAGATATTCTCTTGTAAATTTAAAAGTAATGCGTTACATTACTAGTTACTTGAAAAAAGTAATCTGATTAGGTAACTCGCATTACTTGTAATGTATTACCCCCAACACTGAAGGTACATAATGCCTACTTTTGAAAAAGTACTGCCACAGTGACAGCTTTTGTACCTTTTTTTCTGAGTGTAGAGGGGAAAACGTCTCGGTTACGTATGGTAACCCTCGTTCCCTGAAGGAGGGAACGGAGACGTCATGTCGGATGACCGACGAAATTGGGATCTCGCTTAGAGAGACCAATCCACTTCGAGTGTAAACTAAACGAGCCAATGCACATTGGCATGTGATTATTGCATCCAGCTGCTGCTGATCACAGCGTGAGTATAAGTAGGCAGCAGATGCAGCGCATATTCAGGTTTTCGCTGAGGAGCCGATTCGGTGACCCGGCCGCTCAGCAGTGGTACAGGAGCTGTGGCAACCCTTTCAGTTGGTCACGCTCGACGTCACGTCGGATGACCGACGAAATTGGGATCCTACCAAAGGGCCACAGCTACTGCCCCTTCCAGTGTCCTGTGGAAAAGGCTATAAAATCTGGCGAACGTGTTAGGGGTCGCCCAGCCCGCAGCTCTACAGATATCCGACAGCGAGGCACCACGAGCCAGTGCCAAGGAGGATGCAACACTTCTAGTTGAGTGAGCCCGCAACCTGAGCGGACAGGGCACGCCCTGTGCCTGATAAGCCAGTGTAGCGTCTGGACCACTCCAACACACAATATATAACATAGCCGGGCCGGGGCCTCAGGGTCACCTGGGAATCAGCCGGCCAGAACTCTAGGCATGAATCGTTTACCAAAAATGCATGCAGGTCCCCTACCCTCTTGATGGAGGCCAGTGCCAGCAGGAGCAGAGTCTTCATTGAGAGGAACTTCAGCTCAACCGTCTGCAAAGGCTCAAATGGGCCCTGCTGTAGTGCCGTGAGAACTAGAGTCAGGTCCCAAGAGGGTATAGAGGGCGGCCGTGGAGGATTTAACCTTCTCGCCCCCTTAAGGAACCTGACGACCAGGTCATGCTTCCCCAGCGATCTCCCTTGTACGGGGTCGTGGTTAGCATCAATTGCAGCGACATAAATTTTCAGGGTGGAGGGAGACAGCCTTTGCTCAAACCCTTGGTGCAAAAAGGACAGCACAACTACGATCGGGCATCTTCGGGGGTCTTCTCAGCGAGAAGAACACCACTCAACGAACAGGTTCCACTTCAAAGCGTAGG